TAACAACCCTTTCACTAGGGTCACTAGGGTCATTCAGATATCCTGAATATTAGATATTTACAGTACAGTTTATAACAGTAGCAAAATTACAGTCGAAGCAGCAACAAAAACAATTTTTTTGATTTGAGGTTACCACAGGAGGCACTATATTAAAAGGTTGCAGCATTAGGAAAGTTGAGAACCACTGGTCTAAAGGAACTACTGCTTCCCAATCTATGCCCATCCTTCCATCCCCAAAGACACATACATGCTTTCGAATCATGTCTGGGGACTTCTTTATTCCTCAAAAATAAACTAATTAAGCAGGAGAAACATAAACACGCATCAAAATTGTAAGTTCAACATCAGGTCATTTAATTTACTTAACAATGGGCCTTTTGCTGAAGAATGGCCTCTCTAATGTAGCCTGCCATTTCAAAAGCTTTGAGGTTGAGAGGTCCTCCTTCTGTCCCCCTCTTTCCCTTCACCACAAGGTACACAGATCCCATCTTAAGTACAGTCACTGCCTGGCTACCTCTACTTTGGCCTTTGGTACGCAGGTCCATACTGTAGTTTCCCTCAGTGAACAAGTTGTCACGGATCAACAAGCATTTTGTTCCAGCAAGGGTGACTCCTTGGTGAAGCAACTTTTCTCTCTCCTCTCTTGCCAGTAAGGTCTGAACTTCTTCTTGGGTCATCTGAGTAAAGTTGCCTTCAGGAGAAGCAGCTAGTAACCAGGGTGGACAATCAGTGATAACTGCTGCGTCACTGCACATCTCAGTTTGTAGGAAAAATTTGATGCAATCTTGCCAGGTGGCCTGGCTGACATCCCCTAAGCACTGCATCGGTGAAGTAGGCTGTCGCTAGGTGAATATAGACTTCTTAGAGATGGTTTTCGTTGAAAGTTTGTTGATAGTTGTCTCAAGAACTCTTACCACCTAAGACTGACAAAATTTACAAACAGCCCAGTCTGTTTTTTTTTTTTTTTTTTTTTTTTTTTTTGAGGCTTCTCTGAGTAACAAGTTAGTGGAGATGTTGAGTGAAGCTGTGCTCCAAGGTGTCTGATGGAGTCTGGAGGCAGGAGTGAGGTCAGTATGGCTTTATGACTTGGTAATAGTCATCATTCACTACATCATAAGAAGCCTCTGGCCTGGCCGTAGCATTCTAGGGTTGTCTCAATGGTCAATAAGAGAAGTTAATGAAGTGAATCTACTTACTCTCCCAATTATGGGAAGAACACCAGCTTCCAATACGTAAGTAGAGCATAAACATGTGATAACTGAATTGTAATCTTGAGTGTAAAGCAAGGCAGATGAAACATACTATAATAAATAGTGTTTAACATGTGGTTTTATCTTTCAGAGATCTGACTACTACATACAAAGTGGAAGAGTTTACATGCTTACCAGTTCACATCTTCTAATGGAACAACATTCCCTTTTAGCTATTTGGTTTTTTCTAATCTTTAGTTTACCCTGCAGTCTACACTAACTTTAAATTTAGGGTAATTCACTATCATTACTTGTTCAGCTAGTATCAAGCATTGACTATGTGCCAAGTACTTCCTATTTACCTGTGTAATAAATTAAATAGACAAACTTCAGAAGTAATATTACTTAAGGCTTTCCAAAAGAGAGAGAAAATATATCATTGCTTACTGAAAATATTTTATGAACCTAACAATTTCTTCTAAGTTTTCCCATTTATTTCCTGTATTTCCTACTCCCGTGAGAGTCCCTTTCTGAATTTTGTCTCTCCTATATTCATTGGTAAGACATTATGCTCCAATATGCCTAAAGAGAACCATTGTAAGGAATCACTAATACTAATGGTGTCAAAATCTGTGGTAGTTCGGAACATTCAGTCAGTCAGTCAGTCAGTCAGTCAATAAGTAATTATTAAATACTGCATGATAACTACTACAATCCAAGTTCGTCCCACACTTTGGAGAGATTCTGTCTCTCCAAATGAACATGATTTAACAGAAGAAAAATAATAGAAGATAGATATATTCCCATTTTCTCAAATAGCATTGATAACTTTGACAAAAAAAGGGAAGTAGAGAATGTCAGAAGAGCAGTAGTGGCTTTACTTTACATAAGGTACTTAGATACCGATTCTTTGATGCAGTGACATTTGGTCAGAGATCTAACAGAGATAAAAATAAATGTGTACATTTCAAAGGGAAGAAAACATTCAAAGTCACTAAGAAATAGCAAATATAAAGTCCCTAGGAGAAATGGTAAGATATTCAATATGATTTAAGCAAAGAAAGAGAGGAAAGACTAAGGGAAGATGCAGCTGAGAGGTTAAACTATTTATTTCTTTGTAGTTTGAGATGTGTAGTCACTATAAGGTTTTGTTCAAAATACGAACATTATTTAAGACTACAGATCCTGTGTAGGGAGTGGATTCTTTGGAAATAGTTCTATGGGAACTAGGGCCAAAACAGAGATCAGCTAACATGTATGGTAATAACCCAGCTAAAAAGTCCTGAGGCCTAGGTCAGAATGCAAGTTGAAAATGATTAGATTTGGAGCCCATTGCAAAGGAAGTATTCGTTAAATTAGCTGTGTTGTGTGTTAAATAAGAGAATGATAACACCTTCAAAGATTTGGGTCGGAACAATTGTGCTATTGTTTAAATGTGTGTGTTCCTTCTGAAACTATGCTGAACTTTAATCTCCAATTTGAAAATATTAAAAATTAGCTGTCATGGTGTATACTTGTAATGCTAGTACTTAGGAGCCCAAGGCAGGAAAATAGAGAGTTTCAGACCCAAACAGGCTATATAGTTTGACTCTGAGTAAAACAGAAATAGTATCAACAACAAAAGTATTCCGAGACAAAGCCTTTAAGAAGTAAATCAGCCAAGGGACTCTACTCTCATGTATGGATTATTGCCTGTAAAAGAGCTAATGAGAACTAGTTAGGCCTTTTTTTTTTCTATCCTCTTGTTCCACATGAGTACAAAACATTCAAGATGACTTGGTGAACACTGGACACTGTCTCAAAAACAAACAAACAGAAAACAAACAAAAACATCAAAAGGGGGACTGGGAAGATAGCTAACTTGATGAAGTGCTTGAAAAACAAGTTTGAGGACCCATTTGATCCTATGTACAAAGAAGCCAGACATGGTTCTATTCAATTGTAGTTCCACTTCTGAGGAGACAGAAACAAACAGATCCCTAGTCCATTCCAGCCCCTGCCTAAAAAATAACATAGGTGACATCTGAGGTTGTCTTTTGACTATTGCACTCTTTCTTAAACTCTAGTTGGGGTTCCTTAAAGCCTCTCCCTTCCAACCCCCAACCCTAGGTAAGAGAGAGAAGGTCAGTGGGGAGGGGGGCACAGACCCCTTCACTTCTTCTGACTGTTTAGGGTCGATGGGTTCCTTGGGGATTATAACAATTTCTATTAACAGCAGAGGCAGCAGGCAGTTTCCTCCATCTATCTCCTCAAAGCCACTGAGCACCAAAGCATCTCTCCCATGTCTTTCCAACCGCCACACTGTCAGTCTTTGATCTCTCCAAATTGCCACACTTTCTCTTTCTTTTTCTCATATTTATATCCCTTAGATTCCTATATTTCGGCCATCTCTGTGCTGCATGAAACAGGCCGTTACCTGCTGGCAAAGATCATGCCTCACAGGAAGCAATTATCAGCTGTGGACAAACTAAAACCCAAACTAAAATCCCACACTTGGGATTAAAACAAAATATATATATATATATACACAACATAACTGAGTTGTTAAAGAAACCAAGACTTCCATTACTTTTGACCACCACACATGTGTACCCATTCACACATGAACACACACACACAAGGATGTCTTAAAACAGAAAAGGCAGCCTTCACACCCTCTTTTCACTATCTCAACTCCAAGATGATGTTTTCACTGAAAAACTAGAAATGTTGTGGCAGGAAAAAGTTAAATTTGAGGAACAATAGATAGCACAGGTAAGAGAATGAAGGTGTCAAAAGGGGAGTGTGATGGGAAACCCATGTTTGGTGTGAGCTACCCTGTCTTTAATGTGCTACCAAAGATACATGAACGCAACTCCTTAGTTTGAGTTCACAGTATTTGGGATATAAATTTAGGAACCCCCATCAAAATATTAGAGTTGAATCTGTACAAGGGCTGGGAAGCTGATGGGACCAGTTGAGGATGGGCACAGTGAGTCTACTTTATAACAAGCCAAGGGGAGAAAGGCTATCGAATGAGAATGTCACTCAAAAGTGTCAAATGTTGTAAAACAAAATACGAACGGAAAGGAAAGTGTATGAAACAACTAGAGTTTAATGGATACAGAAGACTAAATGAAAAAAAAAATGATCAGGAAAGTGAGTTTATTATTCACTAAGCATAGTAAGTAGATATTTTTTTTTGAGGTTTGAACAGTGCATCCAGTATGCCTCTTCTTGCATGAGACTACTTGTAGATCAGGTTTGAACTATGGAAATGGCAGTAGACATATGAAGGTGGGGAACAGAGAGGACACAGCTTCCTGTAATTCAAAAATTATTCAATATTTACTAGCCCACGGTCTCATCACAGAAGAGCTGTTTAGAAGTCCAGCTTCCAGCATAAGATGGCCTATCATCTTTGAATCATGCCCTTATAATAACAGTAGGAATGCAAAAAGGGCTGCCATATTCAAACATGAGGTTCCATTTTTGTTGTTGTTTGAAACAAGGTGACAACTTGTTATGAGGTCAGGGATGATATGAACTATTGGTCTTCTTGCTTTCACCTCCCAGGTGTTGGGATGACAGCCATTCACCACTATGGTTTTATTCAGTATGGTGATGGAATTCCAGGGCCCTGTGTATACTGCATGTTTGGCAGCCTCTGGAACAAATGAAGTACCTGAGAACGAACAGGACATTAGAGGAACCAGGACCATTAGCAGATGCCAGTATAGCTATGGACAAAATGCTGTGATAAGAGCCTATGTTAGTATCAGGAAATGAGACTTTGATCAGGGGTGGAGCTAAGAAACTTTGGATCATAGGTGGCTGCAGCTAGAAAAGCAACTTTGGGCTTTGCTGGCAGCATCTGTAATCATGAACCATTTTGTGGTGCCCAAGGTAAGTTAAAGAATTAAGTTGGACCAGAGTCATGAGCTCCCTGCTAGATTTCAGCTTTGAGCTCAGGAGCACTGCCCTATACTTCTCAGGGTGATCTTTGACACCCCTTTTCCAGGGCCCTTATCTGTGTTTGCTTTCTGAGACTACAACACCTTTTAGCCAAACCGAGTTCTCCTCCTCAGGGCCCACCTAGGAGCAGTGGTGGGGCAAGAAAAGGTGGTTTGTGTCCCTGTCTGTTACACACTCAGTGAGTCCTTGGCACTTTCCTATTGGTGTGATCTCCCCTGGTACAAACCCCAGGCTAGTACCTCTTACCATCTTTACCTTAGTTTCTTTGGCTACCACTTTTACCACCATCACCATCACCACCTTCATGGTGTCACATTTTGTAAAGCTTCTTTCTTCAACATTTTCCTTTCTTTCTCCTTCCTTTAGATATTCCCTGTCTCTAAACAGATGCCCCACTTACACCTGCCCCTGAGTAAGTGTATGGGTTTGAGTATCCCTCCATTCCTAGCCTGGCAATGGAAAAAAAGGCAGGTAAATCTGGATGGACCTAACTCAGCTCAGCTGAGGGAAGAAATGCATTACTAGCTAAGTTGACACTTGTTTGAAGCCTGCCCAACCTTAAGAGCTACTTCTGTTTCTCTCATGTTTTCTGACTCTCTTTCCTTCCCAATTCCAGCCAGGCCCTTTAGATTCCAAGTTCCCCCTTGTTACAGTTTAGTTCCTCCAGTAATGGCTGAGGA